TCCGTTCCTCAGCTTCCTCTACTCTGCTTTTTAAACCTTCCAATGTATTTTTCATTTCTGATATGTCATTTTTTTATCTCTTCTTGATGGTTTTTAATTTCCAATTGGCTTATTTTCAGTGTCTCTATGTCCTTACTCATGGTGTTCAGCTTCCTCAAGTTCATGGCTCTGAATTCTAGCTCTGTTGATATGCCTAATTGCTCCACATTGATCTCATCTTCTGTGGAGGTCTCTTGCTCTTTCATTTGGCTTCTGTTTCTGTGTTTCACCATTTTGGCTATCACTGTGGGCTTTGGAGCCTGTCAAGTTTTCCCTGTGGGTGTTGGTGTTCTGCTGTTTGTGGCTCCCTCTCCTGGGTTTAGATGAGCGAGGGAGGCCCCACGTTAAACACCACTGTCAAGTCTTACTTTCCTGGTTAAAGTTGCTAGCCCAGAAAAGGTACTGTTATCCTCTAGCTTTTTGCCTGGAGGCTAGCAGTCGAGGTTACTTGATGAGTTTTGGGTTGTCAGTTGATTGAAAATCTCCCTCAGGTGCTCAGCATAAGGGGATTTTACGAGGGTGGGGCAGATGCTGGTTGTTAATGAGCTTCAAGTAGCACTTCAATGGCCCACAGGGTGGGGTTGGATCTCTGAGGGAGGGGCCGCCGCCTCTCCCCAGGGCCCTGGGAAGGAGCAATATGGCCACTGTCCTGCGTGTCTGCCACTCAGCAAAAGCTCTGAGTGCCCTACAAATCCCGAGTGTCCCGACACAGTTCCAGTCCAGTCCACCCTCCCTCTGCCGGAGCCCAAGGTGAGTGGCTGTGGCTTGTTTAGCCTCTGTCCCGGCTCTGCGCTGTGGAGCTGCTTGGGAGCATAACCCGAGGGCGCTGCTCACAGCTGAGGCTGCTGCCAAGCTGCTGACTGTGGCCTCCCAGCCCCCGTCTCGCACCTTCGCAAGCCTACCAGGATGGAGTCAGTGTCCCTGGTTATATGGTCCTTGCAAGCTGCTTTTCTGTTGGTTTTTCCCGTCAATTTGTCTGTGTTATATTTGTAATTCCAATTTGGTTCTGGGAGACGGTCTGTGTAGCTTCTGTTCACTCTGCTGCCATTTTGGAATCCCGGTCTGTCCTCTTCCTTTAAATTGGACATTTCCTGAGCCTAGTCTAGAGAATATGTAAGAGTGATGGAGGGCTAAGAAACATTAGAAAAATTAACAATCTGATGCCTTTATATATGGAATATGAAGGTGAGTCAAGAGAGACTAATGACTCCATATTTGCTAGTTTAGAATATTAAAAGGATAATCTTTCACAAAAATGAAGTAATTGAGAAAGTACAAGTATTGGGAAAGAACTAATAAAGTTTTGAACATGCTGAAGCTGAGTTGTTGGTACATATTCAAATAGAAAGTCTACAGAGTTGAAAATGTAGAAATGAAGTTCAAATGGGAAGTCAGGGTTCATGCTATATTTTTGAGAATCAGTGAACATAAAGGGAACAGTGAAAGTCCTGGGAGTGAATAAAAGCTATAATAAAAATTGACAACTGACATGACTAGTTTGTTTATTAATAGACAAAATATGTTAAAATTATAAACTTATATTTCTTGAGCCTTTAAGCTCAATTTATAAATCTTATTATTCTATTTATAAATCTCATATTCTTTGCATAAAAATATGGACACTTTCACTTATTCTGACTATGATTTAACTAATTCACAAGCTTAACAGACTAAATACTTCTTAAATATTTAACATAATTTGCATACTCAACCAATCAAACTTTATTAGATATTTTAAATTACAATTACAAAGGTAATGTCACTAACATCTGGCCACTGAAACCTTTATGAGCACTTATGTAACTTGTAAATCTAATACCAATAAATCAGTCTCATATGTGGTCACGAAATTCTCTTAAATGTTTCATACATCTTAAAACATGACAAAGCACACACCACCATAATAACAATAACTTTCACAGAAATAATAAAAACTGTACTGACTTACCACCTTCATATTAAAGGTGGCACCTTGTGGCAGAAAGAGATGTGCCACTCAGATCCTTCTTCAAGAAGAGACTTGCTGCCCTGCTCAGGGGCCCTAGTGTGAACAGCAGATGGCTTCCAGCTGTCAGCTCACTCAAGATCTGCCTCAACTGCAGTCCTGCCCTCCCAGGACCCACACATGCTAACAACCAGCAAAGGGAGGAGTATAAAGGCTGGTTGTGGGACATTCTGACCTACAATACTAGTTCCAGAGCTCCCTGTCTCATCATCTACTTCTAGCAAACCTAACTGCAATCCAAATGAAATCATGCAACCAACATGAGCAGAATTACCATCTCAGACCTCTTACAGCAACTGAGGCTGCAAATGTGGAATATCAGTCAAAATTCTTATCACTATTTCCAGTGATGATTTTACCTGAACCTCAGGTAACAAATCAAGTTCCTTTTTAATGGCTTACCTGCTTAACCAAAATATTACTGTAGTCTTATCCTCAATAGTTTTCTACCTAAGTTTGCATGCACACACTCCAGCCAGACACACATGGCTTGAAGGTCCCACAATCAGCACTGCACCTAATCTAAGTAGGCTCTGTCACAATTAGCTTTGGAAACCTGGGCAAGTTATCTATCAATCTATGCTCAATTTCCTTATCCATAAAATAAGGATAATTATCTTATAGGGTTATTGTGAAGAGTAAATGAGTTATTACATTAAAAAGTAGGTAGCCCTGCCCCGGCCAGTTTGGCTCAGCGGTAGAGTGTCAGCCTGTGGACCAATGAGTTTCAAGTCCGACTCTGGCCAAGGGCACGTACCTCGGTTGCAGTTTGTCCCCAGCCCTGGTCAGAGTCATACAGGAGACAAACAGTGGATGTGTCTCTCTCACATTGATGTTTCTTTCTCTCTCCCTCCTTCCCTCCCACTTTATCTGATGATAAATAGAAAAATATCCTCAGGTGAAGAGTAAAAAAAAAAAGTGTATAGAACAGCCCCTGACCCGACTTTGTATCAATAAGTGCTAGCTACAGTACTATCATTATTGGTCAGTGTTCTACACTGTCTACGTATTTTCTCATCTGTTTCAGCAACCAACATTCTACATAATAATTTATTGACAGCAATTACAGAAAACTTACGTTTCAAGCCCCTTAATTATCAGACTTCAGATTAGGACTTAGGCTAAATTCTAGACTTGACTTTAGTTGAACTAGTTAGCAGTTGAATGTTCTGGATTTTCCAAATTCATGAAGATGTAAACAAGATGTGTGAAGATTAAATTGGGAACATATATGTAAAAGGATTTTTTGAAATACAAAACGTGAAATTATGGGTTATTATTCCAACATTATTATGAAGCTAGACAACTCCTGCGATTAGCAAATGAAATTCTTTGTTCTTCAAATAAAACTGCACCCCTTCCCCAAGATGATTTCCACCTTAGTGATTAAAGTTTAAATGAACTGACTTAATAAGTATAATTTTTAAATAATAATTAAGACAATGAGGCGGTGTGGCTCAGTGGATTAAGCATGGTTCTATGGACTGAGAGGTCCTGGTTCAATTCCAGATCAGGGCACATGGCCAGGTTGCAGACTGGGTCCCCAGTAGGGGGTGTGCTGGAAGCAGCCCATTGATGTTTCTCCCTCACATTGATGTTTCTCTCTCTTACTCTCTATTAAAAAAAAAATCAATAAAAACATTTTTTAATTGATAAAAATAATAATTCAGACACATGGGAAGTCTAACATAGGGCAGAGATCTGAAGATGTTGAGATGGCCTTTAAAAATTTAGAACCAAATGTTGGCTTCTATTATCAGTCCTAGGAAATCACCTATGCAGTAGTCCTAAAAACTGTTAAATTCAGGGTTAAGATGCATTCAATGCCTACGAAATGTATTCACATATCAAAGAAGCATATTTAAGGAAAATAAAAGCTGCCCTGGCTTTTGACCACAAGTGGGGTACTTTGTCATTGGTGCAGTGCCTGAAAACATGATCCAATTTTCATTTAGCTATTTCTTCGGGGCCTCAAAAGGCTAAAATATTGCAAACAATGGGACCTACTGTTTAATATAATGTGCTTTAACAATTCCTTCCAAGAAGTGTAAATATTTCAAAGTGCCAGTTTGGAAAAACCGACTCCAGGTCTCCACGACGGATCTCACACAAAATGAAAATCCACAACTTGCAGTGATGTGTATTTTAACCTTTTGCTGTGTTGTTTCTGAAAAGGAGAGGGAGAAGGGCTACGGTTTTAAATACCCGAACACTGCCGCTAGCAAACGGGGGTTCCAGAGGGCTGGCCGGCGTTCCCGGGGAGGGCTATTGTGAAGGGTAAATGAGTTGGCACCCTTGAGAGGTGCCAAGACAGAGCAGCGGACGCTGCCCCCTTGCCCGCGTTCACCGCAGAGACGCCGCTGCCCCTACCTCCTCCCACAAGGGGCCTCCCCGATCCCCTTCGGGGTCACCCCGAGTGCTCCGGCGACAGGAGTGTCCCGAAGGGCGTCAGGGCCCCCGACACGCCGGCGTCGGGGAGGGGCGGGGAAGAGAGAAGGCGTTTTCGCCCCGGACTCGGGTGGGAAAATAAGGAAAAGAGGCGGTTCCTCCACTGGGGCCTGGGGCGCGGCTTGGAGAACAAAGAGGTCGCGGTAGCCCGGAGGTGCTCAGATGCTCCGCACGCACCTCGGTGGCTCTGCGAACCCACCCAGGGCTCCGCCGCCTGGGCGGAGCGCCACAACCTACGAGCACGCAGACTTCTCGAGTCCAGTTCGGCCCTGCAGGACCCCAAACTCTCTCTGGTAGCACCCAGGCATCTGCATTCTAAACGAGGGTCCGCGCTGACTGGGGCCCTGGGAAGTTTGAAAACAATCGCCTCACGTCTGACAGCTCCTCGGCCTCACAGCTCAAACGAACCCAGCGCCGCGCCGGCTAGGCCACGCCTCCACCGCGCCGGGTCCTTTCCTCTGGTCCCGCCCACTGCTCGGCGCGGATTGGTGGCAGGGAGCAACTCTGGCGCTTATTGGGCAGCGGAGGAGTCGCTCGCGGAGTCGGTAATTTCGGCTGCTCCAGGGTGCTAAATTTATCTTCAGAAGAGCGACCGCGCCAGCCGCGAATCGGATGTCTGTGGAGGTGGCATAGGCGATATCCCTGAACTGAGAGCGTCACCCTGTCCCCGAACCCTCCTTTCCTGTTTTATTTTTCATTCCCCGCTCCTCCCTCCTCACCCCAGTCCGCGACGACTGGCTCTTGACCCTGTCCAGGCCTCGGTGAAGGTGAGGACCGGAGCGGCCGCGGCGGCTGAGTGGTGCGCTCCGAAATGGCCGCTGCCTGGAGCTGTCTAAAATGGCGGCCGCAGGCCAGCTGGGGACCGCGGCGCTGCTCAGCAGCCCAGCCGCGGTGGACCGACCTCTCCGCCGCAGTAGAGAGAGTGTCGAGTGCTGAGACGTGTCCGTGCGGACGTTAGCCGAGGCGGCCGTCCGCCCGGGGACGCGCGAGAGGAGTTGTGTAGGCGAGGGTGGGCCCCGACAGGAAGCGCACCCAGATGTGGCGGTCTGCGGGCGTCGCGCACCAGAGGCGAGGAGGAGCTGAGGGATGGCTGTCACGGGCCACACAGCGAGGTGGCCGTCGCTGAAAGCATGCAGGTGCTGGAAGGGGTGTCCCGCCCCACCTCCTGCCCTGGAGGGTATTGTTCACAGCTGGAAACGCCGGGGGGTGGAGGTGAAGGGGTTGTGCCACCTTTCCGTTTAACCGGAAGAAACAGAAATTAGGGAACCGCCCCCGCCCTTTTCGGTGAGTGGAGTAGAAACTTTGCTCTCTAGGGAGTCCAGACTTTGTCCTCAAGAGATTCGGGGAAGCCCCTCCAAAGAGGTGGGGTTGAGCCCTCTCCTGAAAGCGGGCTTCCCACTCCGTGTGCCCTCTGGCAGCAGAAGAAAGGGATCCTAGTCTTTTAGGTCCACCAGCACTTCCACGAAGTTCCCTGTCGCTGAATCCACATAGGGACTATGGAAAGGGGATCTATGGCTCTTTTGCTCCCAATAGTGGAGAAGTGGGGCTTCCTGCTGCTGTGAATTTGAGATCCTCAGCTTTCTGGCAATTGTAACCCGTTTCTCCCTCTTCTACACCATCCAGCTCCTGGTAACAGATATTTTAGTGCCTGGGAAATTAGGAGTATGCAGGGGCACACGAGTTATGGCTGGACACGTGGGCTCTGCAATCGAACTTTTTTGGGTTCTGTTCTAAGTTCTTAAAAGGCGTGTTAATGAAGCACCATGACTTGATTTCTCTCTATTTGTTCATCTCTAAAGTGGGGTTATTAATAGTCCCTGATTCTCAGATTTGTTTTGAGTATTAAATGAGCTCATCTATATGAGGGATTTAGCAGTTAACTAGCTCATTGTAAACAGTGATTACTCAGTATACACTAGTAACCTTGGAGATTGGTTATTGAGGGAACGAAATGGTTATAGCAAAAAGGTATATTTCATGCAACACTTCCATGTATAGATTGCTTCTATTTTGGATTACTTTTAACGCTTAGTTTTAGAGAGAGTTAAGGTGTGGCTTTACTTTTCAAAGTTAGCTTTAGTTTTTGCAAGTTTTTAATGTGTTTCTATGAAGTCAGTGAGTGGGTAGGGGAGCATCTCAAAACAATGAAATTACCAGGGTATTAAACAGGACAAAACTTTAGCATATTTACTTTGTTAGGCATCTTCTGTTTCAGTCCAAGATCTGCATTGCAGTGAAGAATCATTTGCACTGCCTGGATCTAAAATAAGTTGTAATGGATGGTCAACTTAGTGATATGTAGTTTAGTGCTGCTTTTGCAGTGTCTAATTTTAATTTTTCTCATTCTAGGCTTTTGGTTACTCCCCTTCTACCCCATCCCTTAATTTTATTCTTTTGAAGAGGCTGCATTTCAAGATGCCACCGTGGACATTGTGATTCCAGAAGGGAGTACACCTCATTTCAGGTATCTTACCCTCTAGCTATTAATAGGAAAACCATTTTGATTCAGGATCTAATGTGAGAATACAAAGCTTACTCTGTAGCCAAATCATAACATTTAAATCAAAAGTAGCTGTATTTGGATAGACACTAAATTCCTATGTCTTAACTTCTAAAGCTAGTAGTATTCTTCAGAGGTCCTAACAATTTGTATTACCCTTCCTTTTAATTATGCTTTTAAAAATTATATGAGGAATAAACCTATTAAAATTAGAGTTTTCTTTAGGTCTTGGTTATTTTCATTAATAATATAATAGGATGCAGAGTAATCAGTAAAATACATTACTTTGAATGAGTCTTAATATGGATAATATAAATATGTAATTTTAAGTTTAGAGAAATAGTGGCTAACTTTTGGTCTACAGTTTATTTTTCAGTGTCAACACACTGAAATAAACTTAGGATACAGCAAAATTCTGTGTCTTGCAAAATTTGAACTGTTTGTGTGTTTTTAATACAGCTCATTAGTTACTAGCCCTGAAAGGGGCCTTCGGATATACAATAGTATCAACAATGAATGTATCTAATGGCAGTAGACATTAGAAAGCTAAATGAGATTCCAAGATACCACTGAGAAGGGGTTGGTAAATTATGCCCTGTGCTATTTTTATAAATAGAAATTTGTTAAAACAACTGTGCCCAATTTTTTTTTTTTTACATACTATTTATGGCTGCTGCTGCTGCAATTACAAAATTAAGGAGTTGTAACATATATGGCTCATAGAGTTAAAAACATTTATTACATGGCCCTTTACAGAAAAAGTTTGCCAACCCCTGCCATGGGAAATATTCTTCAAGTTCCTTTAAAAACCTGCTTATCGACTCTTCATTATTTCTTAACTCAGTAGTTCCCAAATTGTGTTTTATAGAATACTAATATTCTCTAAGTTAATAAGTGTTCTGAGAAAAAAGGTCAATGCTAACAATAGATTTTTTAAAATAGTTTATTTTAAAATATAAGTTTGAGACTACTAAACTCATTTCTATAGCTTTTATTTTTATGTGATAATCTACCTTTAAGAAAAGGTGTGCCATACCTGAGAGCACCAGGAAATCGCATGAGAGATCATCTGATAGACGAACGTGTGATGTTCCATCTGCGCATTGATGCATAGGCAGCATTTACAAATTAACTGATGTGTTGCTATATATCATCTCTTTGATGATTGCTCGTCTTCTGTGTATCCTGTCTTATAATTTCAACAAATTTGTGATACTCGATGTTTATTCTAAACTAACCATGTTTTGTACCACAACTACATTGCCTATGGATCTATTGCCGAAACAAGGAAGTCTTAAACAAGAAGTAGAATCATTTTATCAAATTGTGTCTGAATCAAATGATCAAAAAGTTGGAATATTACAACATGAAGACCAACAGTTGCAGCCTTCAGTTTCTAAAAAATCAGAAGATGAGCTTTCCAGGGTCCAATTTATGTCCAGTTCCAACAAAATAACATTTAGTAAAAAACCAAAAAGAAGAAAATATGATGAAAGTTATTTATCTTTTGGATTTACTTACTTTGGAAATAGAGATGCACCTCATGCTCAGTGTGTGTTATGTAAGAAAATTTTATCAAATAGCTCTTTGGCCCCTAGTAAGCTTCGAAGACATTTGGAAACTAAACATGCTGCATATAAAGACAAAGACATAAGCTTTTTCAAGCAACATCTTGATTCACCTGAAAATAATAAACCCCCACCACCAAAAATTGTCAATACAGATAATGAAAGTGCTACAGAGGCATCATACAATGTAAGTTACCATATAGCCCTGAGTGGAGAGGCTCATACTGTTGGAGAATTGCTTATAAAACCTTGTGCAAAAGATGTTGTGATGCGCATGTTTGATGAACAATACAGTAAAAAAATAGATGCAGTGCAACTATCAAACAGTACTATTGCACGCCGAATTAAGGATCTGGCTGCTGACATTGAAGAAGAGCTTGTTTGTAGGCTGAAAATTTGTGATGGGTTTTCTCTGCAACTAGATGAATCAGCTGATGTTTCAGGACTTGCTGTGCTGCTTGTGTTTGTTCGTTATCGTTTTAATAAGTCTATTGAGGAAGACCTACTCTTATGTGAATCTTTGCAAAGCAATGCTACTGGTAAAGACATTTTCAACTGTATCGACAGTTTTATGCAGAAACATGAAATTGAATGGGAAAAATGTGTTGATGTTTGTAGTGATGCTTCTAGAGCAATGGATGGGAAAATTGCTGAGGCTGTCACCTTGATAAAGTATGTGGCTCCTGAAAGTACCAGTAGTCACTGCCTATTATATAGACATGCACTGGCAGTTAAAATAATGCCTACAACTCTGAAAAATGTGCTAGATCAGGCAGTACAAATCATCAATTATATTAAAGCTCGACCACATCAATCCAGACTACTAAAAATTTTATGTGAAGAAATGGGTGCCCAGCACACAGCCCTTCTTCTAAATACAGAGGTGAGGTGGCTTTCCCGAGGAAAAGTTCTTGTAAGACTTTTTGAGCTTCGCCGTGAACTGTTGGTTTTCATGGATTCTGCTTTTCAGCTATCTGATTGTTTAACAAATTTATCTTGGCTGCTAAGACTTGCATATCTTGCAGATATTTTTACTAAATTAAATGAGGTTAATCTGTCAATGCAAGGAAAAAATGTGACAGTTTTTACAGTGTTTGATAAAATGTCATCATTGTTAAGAAAATTGGCATTTTGGGCCTCATCTGTAGAAGAAGAAAACTTTGATTGTTTTCCTACACTCAGTGACTTTTTGACTGAAATTAATTCCACAGTTGATAAAGATATTTGCAGTGCCATTGTACAGCACCTAAGGGGTTTGCGCTCTACTCTGTTAAAATATTTTCCTGTAACAAATGATAATAATGCTTGGGTTAGAAATCCATTTACAGTAACTGTTAAACCAGCCTCATTAGTAGCACGGGATTATGAGAGCCTGATTGACTTAACATCTGATTCTCAAGTGAAACAAAATTTCAGTGAACTTTCCCTAAATGATTTTTGGAGTAGCCTAATTCAAGAGTACCCAAGCATTGCAAGGCGTGCAGTTCGTATACTTCTTCCTTTTGCTACCATGCACCTGTGTGAAACAGGGTTTTCATATTATGCTGCAACAAAAACGAAATATAGAAAAAGGCTTGATGCTGCACCTCATATGCGGATCCGACTTAGCAACATTACACCTAATATTAAGCGGATATGTGATAAAAAGACACAAAAACACTGTTCTCATTAAAATTGAAGGGTTTTGCATGTCTCGTGATAACCAAATATAAGAGGAAAATAAAATATGATGTACTTTATCTCTGGCATTTTGGGATTTTAAATAAAAGTATTCATGTCTTTTATATTTCTTAGATTTTAAGAAAACTAGGAAATCAAAATTTTAAACGTATTATTATTGGTATTTCTTCTTCACATTATAATTTTATAAAATTATGGTCTTAATTTTATTTTGATTTACAAGATAAAGTCCCAATTACTTAGCATATGTACCTCTTTAGGATCTAATCCCTACCAATCTTTCAAGCCATGCCTACCCTGCAGCCCACCAACCACATAGAATGTCTTGTCATTCCCTAAACATCACACTGTTTCATGCTTTCAGGTCTCAAAAAACTATTCCTTCCCCTTCTTGCTTCCTGACAAATTCCTGTTTGCTTTTCAACACTTTGACTTAATTTATCATAGGTACTTTAATTCTCTCTATCTTTCTATTTGGGGCTTATTTTTGTGTCTGTCTCTACTGTGACAGCTTGGAAGTCTCATGATTTCCAGTTGGACTGAGCTCTTACAGGTTCTTATCCAGCTTTGTATCTCCATTATTGGCAAAAGACCTACTAAAGTGATACTCAGTAAAGGAAAAAAATATTGAGGGTGAACAACAAAAAATGGAATAGGGTATGGTGGATTATATGTGTATATTCTGCATGTTTACAGAATGCAGCCGTTTGTGATTTTAGCTCACTTATTCTACTACCTAGAATTCAGTGTGGTATTAGGCAGAAGTCACTAAGAATGTCATATCTCTGATTCAAACCAAACTACTGGGGAAGATGGGAGGGTATATGAACATTTTCAAATATCTTTGTTTCTCAATTCTCTATACATTATTGCAAATTCCAGACACTAGTCTAAATTAATGAGACTTTACTATACTTGAAGATGAGTAGATTCAAAACCTCTATTAATTTATTCTTAGAATACTATGAAAGCCCTGCCCGGTTTGGCTCAGCGGTTAGGGCGTCGGCCTGTGGTTCAGAAAGGCCCATGTTCAGTTCCCACTAAGGGCACGTACCTCGGTTGCAGTTTGTCCCCAGCCCTGGTTGGGTCACGTGGGAGGCAGCCACTCGATGTGTTTCTTTCACGTCGATGTTTTTCTCTCTCTCTCTCCCTCCTACTCTATCTGAACAAAAAGTGGAAAAATGTCCTCAGGTGAGGATAAAAAAAAAAAAATACTATGAAGAATTTCTCACTGACATTCCTGTCCCCAGTCTTCTCTTTCCATATCACACCATACAACACAGACCACCAACTTTGTTAATCAAGAGCTACTGCAGATAGCCATTATTTATTTAATCACACTTACTCAAACCTTTCTCCCAATTTTAGGGGATAGGAATACCTCCCCTCACTAAGGCAGAATATGGTAGAATCACTAGATTTGGGTACCTGCTGCACTGTTGAACTAGCTATTTAACATTGGGCTGTTGAGCCTTCCTGAACCTCAGTTATCTCATACGTAAAATAATGACGTCTGTGAAGAGTTATTATTCAGATTAAATGAGAATGTATAAAAAAAACTTCTAACAGTGGGTGATGAGGAATAGATATGCAACATATATTAGTTCCCTGCCATATCCAACTATGTCCCAGTTAAACTTCACACTCACAATTCTAGTCTTGAGATTTTTCTCCTCTGTGGAAACTCAACAGCCTTCTAGGCAACAGGACCTGAGTTAATCTGAAGCAGCAAGATTAAGCATCTCTAGCCCATGCTTTTTTTCCCTTTGTCACATTTTTTAAGCACCTGTTTATTTGCCAGATACCTTACTAGATGTTTATCTGTTAACTATAATCTTTACAACAATCCTCAAGGATTAGGTAATTTTTTAATTTGGCCAAGGTCACACAATAAATAGCAGAACCGCCCCGGCCAGTTTGGCTCAGCGGTTAGAGCATTGGCCTGCAGTCCAGAGAGATCTGGGTTCGGTTCTCACTAAGGGCACGTACCTCGGTTGCAGTTTGTCCCCGGCCATGGTTGGTCGTGCGGGTGGTAGCCACTCAATGTGTCCCTTTCACATCGATGTTTCTCTTCCTCTCTCTTCCTCCCACTCTATCTGAACAAAAAAATGGAAAAGTGTCCTCAGGTGAAGATAAAAATAAATAAATAAATAGCAGAACTTAGTTTAAAATGGGTCTTTTCCAAGGACAATATTCTTTGCAGTTACTATCTTTCAGATTTTTCTAATAGTATCAGATAGTGACTTGGAAGTATAACTAAAATCAGCATTTCTTTGAAATCCTGTTTTTTTTCCTTCGAGATTCATCCAAAATTAGCTATTTCAAAGTATGATGCTTATTTTAAAAATATGTATGTAGCCTTGGCCGGTTTGGCTCAGCAGTAGAGCGTCAGCCCATGGACCAATGAATCGTGGGTTCAGTTCCAGCCAAGGGCACATACCTTAGTTGTGGTTTGGCCCTGGCCCTGGTCAGGGTCGTGCGGGAGGCAACTATTCGACATGTCTCTCCCACGTTGATGTTTCTCTGTCTCTCCCTCTCACTCTATCTGAAGATAAATAGAAAAATATCCTCAGGTGAGGATTAATAAATAAATAAAAAATAAATCTTAAAAAAAATGTATGTAAAAAATAGGGATTAAATAGCTGTCAAGTAAAATTAATTTTCCAAAAAGATTCATCCTAACAACTCATGTGTAATACTTTTTGCCAGCTAATCCCAGAATTAAATCTGCCCTAATTTGAGGAACATGTATAATGCCATTGTGTCTATGTCTAGCTGATACTTCAAGTCTGATAACTAGACCCCTTATGTGATTGCTGAACCTGAGCCCTTGATTAGATTATCCAGGATGTCAGCCTCTTAAGATATAAGACCTCTTCTGCATTACTATTTTCCCCCTAACCTCCAATTTGAGTCTGTTGACTGGGACGCTGCTATCTGCTACTTGCTACTAGATCTCTTCAATTCTAACCCTCCCCAACTTGGTTCTTGATGCCAACTGCTCGCCTGTTTTATAATTCTGTAAATAGTATGCTCTTTTCACCCTCAAATGACAGCTGTGCATGAAACAGTAAAATTTTCCTAATGTGTCCAACCCAAAGTCCACTTTTAATCCCTATATTTCTAGTAATTGAAATTGTCTTGATTTCTTAATGAGGATTATTTCCTACGTCAGTCTTGTGCTACTACTATCCATACTTAAATATACAAATTGTAATCTCATAGCTAAGACTTCTTTTGGATCATTCACAAAACTTAGAACATTTCTACGACAAAAAGTGCTCAGTCAATTGAATTCTCTGGTTTACAGAAAGGGTAAAGTATTAATGTGAAATACAGTTCATAGTGTATATGAAAATTAGCTTTAAAATCCCTAGCCTCACCTAAACAGATAAGGCAATAACTATTCTTTGCCTTCAAAGACTTCAAAAGCATTTCTTTAATAAGCCCCCCTGTTGCCTTAAAGATGCCATTTAACTCCCCAAAATATCATTCACCTACAACTCTTGAAAAACTCCATCAGCTATGTAAATGTAGGTGCCTCTGAAACTTAGCATGTTTGTTATTTACTTTCATCTTTTAAAGTTGCTATAACTTCACTGTTAATTAGTACAGTGGAAAGAATTTTGAAGCAGGTATCAAGAGACATGTTCTGCAACTAATTAACTGCTTAGATAAGTTCATCCTCTCTAGACCGTAGTTGCTTCATTTATTAAATGAAAGGGGTTTAACTACAATGAACCCAAAAGTTCTTGTTAAATAAGATCAAAATTTAAACCTAAATAAAGGCTAGCATGATAGCAAGATGCACTTAGTTATTTGAGATACATGGTTTTCTTAGAAGCCACACTTTTTCAATGAATCTATTACCATAAGACTTTCTACCAACCAAATTATAAGATGTATAAATTGCCTCATGAATACTTATTGGATGGAAGAAATGAAGTGCTTTTTCAAAAGGGAGAAGTACTTGGAAATTTAGAAGACATTGGAAAAATAAAATATGTTGGTTATGACTGTATTGAAATCCAGTATAGATTAAGTAAAGTGGCAGGCAGGCTACAGTGGAAATTGCTAACTATATCCCCAGCATCTATTTTATTCTCCCAAATCATACTCTCATTTTCTTTCAAGTATCCATTCTTCCCCCTTTATAATCCACGTACTTAAACAAAAGTTAAGCCCTGGCCAGTTTGGCTCAGCGGTTGAGCGTCAGCCTGTGGACCAGAGAGTCCCGGGTTTGGTTCCCGCTAGGGGCATATACCAGAAAAAACAAAAACAAAAAAAACCCACTCTGGCTTTGGGAGTTTTGATTTAAAATAGTAGTTTTCAAACTTTTTGACTCCAATTCACAATAAGAAACAGATTTTATGTTATAATCCAGGTGTGTGCAGTATATGTAAGAACACCAAAGTTTCGTAAAACAGTATTAACCCTTCATATGTGCAGTGCAATCGCAAATCTATTTAAGTTTTTAAATGATGGTTAGGATCCAGAGATTAATTTCTAGATCTATTCTTGGGTTACGTGATCCACCACCATTTGAAAAACGCTAGTGAGTGTAATGTCATTGCCCTTACAAAAATTGTTTAGGAACTTGGATCTAAGCTTATTAAGACATAGTATTGCTGCCCTGGCCAGGTTTTCTCAGTGTTTAGAGCATCAGCCCGCAGACCAGAGAATGGCAGGTCGGTTCCCGCCAAGACCACATACCTGGGTTGCAGTTTGTCCCCTGCCCCAGTTGGGGTCGTGTCAGTGGCAACCACCTGATGTCTCTCTCACATCGATGTTTCTCTCTCTTCCTCCCTCTCTATCTGAAGATAAATGCAAAAATGTCCTCAGGTGAGGATTTAAATAAATAAATAAAGACAGTATTGCTCTAGCCACAAGAGTTGGTCCAGGAATAGCATGTGGCCCAATACAGGCTAATGAAAAGCAAGGGCAGTATTGTAGGGGCTTTGAGAAAAGATGTTTTCTTTCTCATAAGGAAAAGATAAATGCCCTGTGTACTTGAGAGGTCTGGAATTGCTGCACCTCTGTAGCTAACAGCATGGAGA